TATATATAAAGTATTTCTGATATATCATATGCATATATATGTGTGCACATATCTCAGTTACAAATGAATACACTTTGCTCAAACATCCTGATGTTTTCAGGTATTTATTTATAAATTGTTATGAAATATAACAATACTAAATCATACAATTTTCATTCTTTAAAAATATTATTAAGATTCCAAACACCTTTTTTCCTGAAGTTGATTGTATAAGCAAGTGGTAAAATCACTAAAAGAAAACAAACAGAAACAACTGGCTTGTGTTACCTTGACCCATCTATAGAGAGTCATATTTGTGTGTGTGTACCTAGGGCTTAAACTCAGGACCTTGGTGCTTTCCTCGCACTTTTTGCTCAAGACTAGTGCTCTACCACTTGAGCTTTCCTGGCTGGCTTTGAACTGTGACCTTAGATCTCAGCTCCCTGAGAAGCTATGATTACAGGTGTGAACCACCAGCCTCTGGCAAGAGTCATATTTTAATGAATTTCCTTAACATCTTGGAAACATAATATCTACCTTACCTAAACCAAAATCGTAACCTGACTATTGCTGTCTACTTCAGTAGGTGTAGTTGCTTTTAGATCATGATAAAAACTGAGACATCATGATTCATATAGATAGAAGCTGAGAAATCATGCTATGTAAATTTGTTAATACATTCCTATATGCCTTATCCTAGCCTCCAACTGATTTAGGCCGTACATTTTAGAATCCTGGAAGGAAGAATAGAGGAAAAAGTGAATATTTCATTGAAAATAGTTAGATGTTTATCTTTTGTAAATAATTGAGCTAAATATATATGTATGTGTATAGATTTTACATATGTGTGTGTGTGTGTGTATATATATATATATATACAAGTATATGTGTTTAATTATTTTTCTCTAACCATTTATGATTAGATTCGATTACGCATTCTACCTGGCACCGAACAGGAAATGTTATACAATTTCTATCCTCTAATGGCAGGATACCAGCAACTACCGTATCTCAACATCAACCTACTTAGATTTCCTAACTTCACAAATCAGCTGCTCAAACGTTTTATACCTACCAGTATTTTTGTAAAGGTATGGCTCAAATTTTCTGGTCTTTAAAAGTCATTGTTTTAAAAGCAGACTTTTTTTTATGTAAACCTCACTGAATAGTTTGTGACAGTGATAGTTTTGTCTTGTATTATCTGAATTTTGAAGATTATCATTCATTGCTATAGTAGCATTTATATAAGCTAAAGCCAAAATCCAAGATTTTTATCCCCTTAGATAATTAATGATTCCTTAAGTATCCTTGAATATGCTCTTTCTGTGGCTTAGTTAAGTATGTTTTAATGCTATAGTTTGTAACTAGTTTTTATCAAATATATTAACTTTCTAAATATGTCTTGACCTCCCTAATTCTTTTTTTTTTTGGGGTCCGGTCGTGGGGCCTGAACTCTGGGCTTGGGTGCTGTCCCTCAGCTCTTCAGCTCAAGGCTAGCGCTCTACCACTTGCGCCTCAGCGCCACTTCCGGCTTTTTTCTTTTTGCTTATGTGGTGCTGAGGAATCGAACCCAGGGCCTCAGGCATGCAAGGCAAGCACTGTACCACTGAGCCATCTTCCCAGCCTCCCTAATTCTTTATAATTCTTTTTTTTTTTTTTTTTTTCGTTTTTTGGTCGGTTGTGGGGCTTGAACTCTGGGCCTGGGTGCTGTCCCTGTGCTCTTCAGCTCAAGGCAAGCGCTCTACTACTTGAGCCATAGCGCCACTTCCCATTTTCTGGTGGTTAATTGGAGATAAATGTCTCACAGACTTTCCTGCCTGGGATGACTTTGAACCATGATCCTCAGATCTCAGCCTCCAGAGTAGCTAGAATTATAGGTGTGAGCCACTGACACCTGGCTCTATAATTTGTTAATACCTACATTCGAGTCTCTTTGAGAGACTCTTCTGAATACCTACATGTGAGTCTTTCTGTCAGAAACTGTACACTGATAAATGGATCAGTCTTAAGGAATGATTCAGTTTCTAGAATACCTATGATGATCATTTGATCATACTCAGCATATAAGAGAAGGACAAATACTTGGCTCACTTTCCCCCTTTGACTTGGTCACTCCCAGATACCTAGAAGGCTGTTGTTCTTCCAGACAGTTCTGTCCTTCATATTGCTATTGTATTACTACATTATATTAACCATTATATTACTACATCTGTGACTCTTGGGTGCCCTCTTACACATTTATACCCTCCTTTGGAATGATGTGTTATATTACTCACTACTTGCTTTTTTGTGTCTGCCTCACTTAAGTTTTGGAGGATTTTTCCTTGTTCAGGATTTAGTATATTATAAATTTGTCTGTATCAATGACCCCAAACTCTTCTTGCCTTTATCTTTGTAGGCTTACTCATATAGCTTCTTTTGCATCTAGAAAACACTTCATTAAACATACTTAACGTTTGAAATTTAAGAGAGCCTTGAGCAAAGAGAGAAAGAATAAAGCATCAGTTAGGCAGGAGTGATAACTAGCTTCCATTTCTCATGCTGTGGTGATAAATTGGCAGGAGATTGTTGAGCACAAGACAGAGAGGGAAGTTTTAGCTGAAGTGGATTCAGTAGTTCAAGTATATGGTCAGCTGGAGATGTCTGCCATTGGTATTAGAGTAGTGGGCCCACATAGTACCAGACTATGCAGTAACCACCAGGTTTAGGTAAAGAAACAGTAAAAGAGGGAGGACAATTAGATATTTATGCACATTTATTCTGATTTTGTAAAATTGCTCCAAGAATTCACACATCCTTTCAATTAACAGAGCTTACCATTACTCCTTTGTAATCTCATTTTGTTTTTTCCACTGTGAAGCCACAGGGTCGACTCATGGATGATGCCTCTATTGCTGCAGCTTGATGGTCAAGACCAGAAGACTTGTTCTTACAGAGGACTCAGGCAGAGCTAACACAGGTGTCTTACGATGACCTGTAGCTTTGATCATGGTAAAAAAAAAAAATCATCTTTTCTATTTTTTAATGGATGTCATATCAACTATTCAGAGGAATTATTGCTGAAAATACTAGGAAAATCACCCTGTCTTATAGTTTCACTAATAAAAATTTGAAATCTTTGTCAGTGTGATGTGAAAGGGTGTCAGACAATTGTTACTGTGGAAAGTCATTTTATGAACAGTAAATTCTTAAAGTAAGTAAGTGATTTGTCTGTGCAATATCAGTGGTAAGATAGGCATCCTAAATATGATCAGACAGAGAAGAGAGTACATGCAGTATCTGTACCACGAAAGTACTGAATCTCTGGTGAGTGTCCTAAGAGTTGACCAGTCTAAAGAGAACCCATCCTAATTGCCACTCATGATCAGAGAGCAGTATATACTGCTGTGTGACTGACATAGGAAAACTCCAGACAGTTTTAATGAAAGCAGTTTTAAAAGACGTCAAAATGTTTTTATTGATCAAAAAGTGTGAGAGAGCTGTTGTAAGCGGCTCATTGAGAGTTGAACTTCATTGTAGCCTTGTTGGGTTTATGGAAAAGGAAGAAAGCCACAGGACTGCTCATTCAGTCTTGGGAAGATCTTGTTGATTCTGCACAAGCAAAAATGACCAGTCCATCCTCAGTTGACTGAATGTTGTGTGATAGACCTTCTCCACAGCAGGGGTGGAATGCTCTTGTTTCACTGCAGAGTTCACAGATGCACTGCAATTTTGGAATCAGCATATAGATTCCAAGTCCTGTTTGTATATAACCTTATTCTTTGACTTTTGAAAAGTTAATTTTTATGTCTATATTTAAAGTCCTTGTATTAGTCAATGATTCATGTTCAGCATTATTTGAACCATTTGCTATTACAGAAAGAAAAATACTTAATTTGTATTTAATAAAACTGGTGTAGGAAAAAAAAAAGTTTGAGAGAGGGTATCATTTATAAAGTAGGTTCTTCTTTCTGAAAGAACCTGAACTGCAAAGACCTGATAATAGCAGCATGATTCCTAAACTTCCTGACAATGACTCAGGTCTGAATAACAGCTTTTTAGTTCCATGGAGTGGTTTCAAAAGAACTATTTGGAATTCTTGAAATTAATGTAAATTAAAAAAATTAGAGTATTATTTTCTTTGTTAAAATATCTGAGTAAGTTTTAACTACCTGATTTCTTAGAAAATTTTATTATTTAAAAAGTGTAGCCATTGTAAAAAGGAAATAGTAAATAAATATGTTCTCTCAACTACACTTGTAGATATTCCTTTATTTTAAACTTGTTTTATTTCAGCTTCATTAAACAACTTCGACTAAGTGGTTCATGAGGTGGAGTAGAAAGGCAGGATTGGGACCTGGGTATCATATTCTAGAGCTGGCTGTCCACCTTTCCTAAGACTTGGACACTGGAATGGGCTTTCTTGGGAGGACATGCTTCTTTAAGTAGAGGCCATTGGAGAGTGAGTGAGAGTCAGCTCATTGGGATCAAATCCCAACTCTGAAGCTCTCTGTTTAGATTACTGTTACGTAGCCCCTGTGTGTCTGGCTTTTCTCTGGGGTGCTGTAGATTGATACCCAAAGAGTGTTGGATATTAATACCAATAATCGGCAGCCCCTGACCTAACGTTTGTCCTCAACTGGTGACATCTGTTATCTCTTTTCATGAGAAGGCTGAACAGGACTTTATGCAGCTCCTAGACAACTCCATATTACCAGAATTTGTTACATATATTACACAATCTAGTACACATGTGAGGGTATACATATATCCAAACAAGTATGCTTATATAAGTATGTAAAACTATAGACAGGAGTTTCAAGAGGTAATACTTGTAACTGTATTCTATTTATATACTACTGTGTTTTAAAAATTCCCTCATTGTAACCTGCTGAACCAGTTTCATGACTGACACATTAATGGGATGTAACCTATTGTTTAAAAGTACTTTAGAGCTTCTGCATGGCAAAGGACATAGCTAGCAAGATAATAGAAAGCCCACGGTCTAGGAGAAGGTCTTCACTAGCCACACATGGACAAGGATCTCATATCTAAAATATACCTGAAACTCAAAAAATTAAATCCTCCAACAACAAATCCTCAAAGAAACAACTGCCCAAGAAATAAGTGGGCTAAAGACTTAAATAGAAACTTCTCTCAAGTGGAAATAAGAATGACCAATAGACACATGAAGAAATGCTCAACCTCTTAGCCATAAAAGAAATGCAAATCAAAACACCATTGAGATTCCACATCACCACAGTTAGACAATGACTATAATCAAGAACCCTAATAACAACAGAGGCTGGAGGGGATGTGGCCAGAAGGGAACCTTA